GATGGATGGTTGGATGGATGATGGATGGTAGGATGGATGGATGGATGGATGGATGGATGGATGGATGGATGAATAGATGGATGGATGGATGGATGGATGGATGGATGGTAGGATGGATGGATGGATGGATGGACGGACGAAACTGAGGGATACGGATAAAGGATGAATAAAAACGTTAATAGAAGTGAGGATGAACTGTTAATGTATGAAGAATGAAGGATATGATGTATGGAACAACGGATGGACATTCAAATTGACAGAAGAAGTGACGGATAGACAGAGTAAAGTTTGGAGTGTAAGTAGGTAAAGAACACGATCAACCTCCCAGGGCTGTGCCACTGACTGAAGTCTCTTTAGGCCATTCCCGAAGGGGGGACATTAACCATGTTCGTATGCACAGTAGAATTGAAAATGGGCTGATCCAACCATGTCATGCTCATAACTGTGCCTGAACTACAACAGGGAACTGCTGCTTTTTCTTTCCTAATCCTTACTATCGTCATTTTCCTCTACTTCTTTCGTATGTTTTTCACACTCTTGTGACCCGCAATTTCCGGGATGCCTTGATAGTCGAAGCAGACTTTGTGATGTTGAAGCTAGAGAGATGAGCAGAGTACGTCTGATTCCCTGTAAAGACTTCTCTGTTGACATCCACCCCTTGGCGCTCATATGACCTTATGCAGTTGCGAGCGCCGTAAAATCGCTACTAAATAAAAAAAAATTAAAAAACACAATCAATGGTCATTAACACCACAGTGTTGATATAACTTAGCCTAAATGCCCCCAGATATTCATCTTAAACTCGGTTTCTATCGTGAATTTCAATCTCTTCTCTAAGTCAACATGTTTCAAGTGTTTCGCTTTGATGCGCCGAACTATAATAACTGAAACAGTACGTACCCTTTCACGTGGCTTAATCTGTTATGAATCGGCCTCCTTTGTTTCGCTAACCTCGACAAGAAACAGCTGGCATCAAGAGTTTTCTTTGATACCTCCCGTTTATGTGACAGCCGGCTAAATGCACTTTCTACTATTTCCTCTTCCTATAAGTCTTTATAAAACATTTATTATTGCCGACTCATCCGTGTTCCGTAAATTATTAAATTTTGTTGGCTGTAAGATGATTACGGAGAAAATGTTTGTCCTCCGTGGATTTTGTTTTAATATCGAAGAACAACGGCGAACCCGAAGTCTTCTCTTTTTAGTGACACTGAAGTGTTAAAAAGGGGCATTACACACAAACAAAATTATATAAAAACTGAAGGAAAACAGACAACCTTACTTACTTTTATATCGGAAATTCAATTTTTCTCATACGAACGTGCCCGTGAAGATGTTTCATTCTGTCTTCTTTTATTTCTCCCCCTTGCACTTGTTCAAAATAGTATTTAGCTTTCGCCCTCGAAAGAGAAAAGTAATTATATAGTCATTGTTTCAGCCAGCACAAACGTTTTAAACGCGTGATTCTCTACTATCTGTTTATCCGAACTTTAAACCATCTTTGAATTTAACCGGTTCATCTTGAACATCGTTTACACAAAACAAGCATAAGGCTACTGTTTGGAAAGAGGCGCAGTTTCATTGTCAGTCAAGGACTTACCTTAAATTTCATGAGGAGAGTAACAGGTGTACCTGAACAGCTTGTCCATCCGACGCCAGCCCAGCCGACTGTAGGCAAACTCTGTGCTGCAAACGACGGCTTAATCGGATGGACAATGTATAATTCAGAGAGTGGGCACTAGGGCGTAAGTTGACTGAACATTAGTCAGCGTGAGTGGGTTGGACGTTTTTTGTTTTATGACGTAATGCCACTACCGACAAGTAATGTACAGAGAATGGGGATATAATAGAGGGAGAGAGAGAGAGAGAAAGAG